TCATATAAGTATGGTTATATATATTCTTTCAGATGTGTATAAGAGACAGGTTTTTAGCTTGAGCTAGCAAAAGCTTGTTTTTTAACATTAGTCTGGACAAGGTGCTACTAGTATTATTTGTTTCACCCTTGTTTACAAACATTTCATTGTCCTTTGATAGGTGCTTTAACATTACTGAAACTAAGGTTAGACTCTTTTTATACTTTGTTTAGCAAGCCCACCGCCCACCAATAATGATGATTTAAAATATAAATAAATTGTATTTTTGGCCAATTATCACACCTACCGATACGAAAAAAGGGAAATTTCAGGAAAAAAAGTTCTTCTTTATTTTTATTACGCCTTGAAATCTCCAAAGATAAGATATGTATATTTCTTCCTAATTATATAAATTTGAAGCATTTAACTATCCTATTGTACATTCACCTATAAAATTTAATTTTTATTGTCCCCTCCATTTTGATGTTTTTGGCAAAACTATTTACTAAATAAGAAAACAAAATTTTCTTTTTATTCCGCCCTCCTCCGATGATAAGTACGCGAAACAAGGAATAAAGAAAGTCTAGCCTTAGTATCTGATAAGATTTTCACAATGGCATGACAGTGCTCTTTTTAACGTTGCACCCCTTTATTTGGCAGTCCGAATCTGACACGCAGAGAAATCTGAATCGCAGAGAATGTTACCTGACGCAGAGAATTTAGTCTTATTTGCGAATATTTTGAATTAAGCAAATAGTGAATTTAGCAAGTACCGTGTGGAACGCTGGCAATATTTGTCGCTAAATTATTGGGTTTGTGGCATTGTGCGTAGTGCATCGTGTTCCGGTGCCGTTGTTAACTGGTATGTTTTGTTATTGATTTTATTGTCGAAACATTTTATAATTATAGATTCAGTATTTTTGTGAGAAATATATACAATTTCATGTCAATATACTTTTCTGAATCTTGCATCATTGTTTTACTGTATAGTATTTAATATAGGCTATGTAGACCAAGTAATCATTAAATTGTTCATATGAATGTTGTTAATGACATTTGAAATGTTATAATTCAGAATGCTTAAATGAGTTAATAGTACCTTTACTGTATACAAGTTTAATTAAACGGTACTATACTGTTTGTGATTAAGATAATCTATGCCATGTATTTTAGCTTTAATTTATTTCTGCTTTTTCTTAATATTTATATGCTTTCTGCTATTGAGTATAATTGGTGAGAGTGAACTCACTAGATTTATGATTATGTAATAAATACTTCAGTTTTCATGATTTAATTTTATATTGAATTATTGTCACAGGCCATTAAAGCTGAGTAGAGTACAGGAGTTGTGCAGTATTCCATGTTGATATTCGAATCATAGTGCAGTCAAATTCATGTAAGATTTATTATATGTATTATGTTTCTCATGTTATTAAATTGTATATTTAAGTATATGAATAATTATGACATGTATACAAGCTCATGTTGTATTTTAATAATTATGGTAATTTTGTGTTCTGTTATATCTAGCCACCAAAGAAGAAAAACCAAGAGACAATAAAGTTGCAAGTACGTTTATTAACAGGAAACCGGCTCCAAGTTCTAATAGCAGTTATTAAGGCATAAGAGTTATATGAACTTAAACTAAACTGTGAATAGAGTATGAGTGGGAGGGGTCACTGATCATGAACTGGGAAAATGCCTGAGCTTAGAGTATTGATTGTTTTTTTTTGGTTAAAGTAGGCCTTAAGTGATTTTATTGGTTTTACTAGGTTTGGCAATGCTTATGATTGTAAACCATATCCTTTACTGTTGATTAAATAAATTATATTGTCTTTGCAATCTTTTTAAAAATAACACATACCTGAGAATTAGGTTCCTTTTGCCATATAGTTACAGTTTTTAATCGAAAACCTGATATAGAACCTGATATAGCTTAGAGGAAGGACATTTTTGCTGTCGGTATAAGATTTCCACTTTTGCCATTACTGAATTGGTTGAGTAAATTATTAATCACATGGCTGATCTACTATTTTAAAATCAGCTGATATTTACTCAACAAAGTATAATAGTATCTTTGTGTAGTTTAATTCAGATGGTTTAGATCTCACCTACACCTGAATTCCTCTATATCTGGGCCAGATTGCTATATCAATATGCGATCAATAGCCAAAAAATTATTATTGTTGTTATCAAAGAGTGTAGAACTGTAAGAGGTCCGAAGCCGTCTCGTAGTTTCGCTGGAACGTAATCTTATTTCAAAAAGTACTGCCACAAAGGACATGTCCTTAAAAGACGAGTTTCGAGCAAATTCTATTCAAATTCCAATATGGTGCCCATATCTCGTGGCACTACTTTTTTTTACGTTCCATTGGGTGCATACAAAATCAGGGTAATCGGACCTCTTGCAATCTACACTCTTTGTTGTTATCGTTTACATAGCGTTGAGAAAAATTTTAACCCAACAGGATTGAACTGAAGGCCAACCATATATTTCCATTAGTTTATTATACACTTTTTGAAACATAGTTGTTTCCACTGGTGGCACCATAATTTGCCCGACGGGGGAGAAAAAAAAAACAAATGTGTGGTCGGTTGTCGCTCAAAATATCTCGAAAATATGACAATTTAGGGGTTTCAAAGGCTTAAGTCGATTTTGGAGTCTACAAATATGTGGAAAATACATATCCATTTTTTTTCTCCCCGACAAATTGTGGTTGTTCTCCCCGTCGGCACCACCCCTGGTTGTTTCATGTTGTTTTCGTAGTTGTTGCTGTGATTTTTGTTGTTGGTGTATTATTATTATTATTACGGTTCAGCGCAGCTGAAACCATTTGGTTTCCCAACTTCGAGGTTGGGGGAAGGGGTTTCAATCCCTTGCTGTGCATCTCACTTGTGTCCTTGAGCAAGGTACTTCATCTGCATTGCTTCTCTCCACCAGGCAGGTGCGATCCAGTACAATCTACACCTGCATTATCGATGTTATTTGAAGTAAGCGCTACTCACTTATCTATTCTGAAAATGTTGTGCCCCGTGTTTGAAATATCCACCCCTGCCAGGAGTCTAAATGGTATCTGGTGAAGTTGCCTATTCCAGGGCTAATTACATTTAAGCAAGTCGGCCCAATGACCAAGGAAAGAAGTGCTTTGTATCTGCAAAGAATGGCGTTATGTAACTAAGGAATAAATATATAAATGTTAAATTGTTAATATTAATATTCATATTTCATATGAATTGGCAAGTAGGCCCACATCGTAATGAAAAAGTTATGTTTTATTTATTTATTTGTAGAAATCTACCAAAGAACATATTCTAATACTGCTATAAACATCACAACAAAACTTTAAATTCTACTGAAAATTATGGTACCTTTAATAATAAGCCATTTGTCATCCAGGAGGGTAAGTGCGATGGTTGCCTTTGCACAAGTTGGTGGGCCTACTTTCTCATAAAAGTGTTCAAATTTATGGTCTACAGCATTTAATTATGTCAATAAAAAAAACCATTAGTTTACACTTATCAAATTGAATTATCCAAAACACAACTGGAACTTGCATCTACTTGTAGAATACCTGTTGGGCAACTGCCAACGTATGCTCAAGTGTTTATAAGTGATAATGGTACAAAAAACCTCTTCTGTTTTCTTAACCTAATAATTTGATTTTAAGCATATTAAAGAAGAGTTTAAAAGGTAACACTGTAACCGTCTTTATATGTGTTATGTTTTTTTAACCCAATTAAGCATTTTAAACACAGTTATAACAATAACCTGATTGTTTAATGTGTGATTCCATCAATCAGCAAACAAAGACAGCAATGGGATTTTGAGCATACTGCCCCCAGGTTCCATTTAGAAATTATGATTCAATAAACTATGAGGTTTTAGTCTGGCAGGCTGCCAGTGAAGAAAAACATTTGTGGCAAAGACAAGCCAAATCAGTCACTCGTCGCAAATCGTGTTTCAGAGAAAATGGCCAAAACATGCTGGAATGTCAAATTTTAAAAAATCTATTTTATTGCACCAAACTAACCTTTATATATCTATACATCATTCTATGCTGTTATTTTCAACATTTTCAATGTTAAAACAATACTTTTTAAGGATTTAAAGATAGTTTCTGCATGAGAAATGCCTGAAATCATAAACTTTGACGGCTAATTTCTCATATATTGTTCTTTAAACAGCTGTATGGTTAAACGCTTGTAACTTCATAAGGAAATGTCCGATTTGAATGATTTTTTTTTCATTTTATAGCTATTATTTTACGCTCTAACACTGTATTAATAACTCAAAATCGATTTTTGCGACGAGTGACTGGTTTGGCTTGTCTTTGCCACATTTGTTATTAACACACTATCAAGTAGCTATATTATTTTCAAAGAACAAATACAGGAACAGCAATTTAAGACTAATGACGTATTCTGTTTCTTCCTTTTATAGGTTCCTTTTTTAAGCGTTCCGTTGTGATCTTTAGCCCTAAAACTTGTGCCTGTGATGAGTGGCCAACATTTCCCAACCCCATGGGTGAATCAAGATGGTGAATACAACCACTCCCACACTTCCCAAAAAATACACACTTCCCTCTGACCAAGTACTGGAGGTAATGATTTCAAAGGGTGGGGGGGGGCAAGCCAATCCACCCCCTTTCCCCCTCCCCCTCTTAAATTTTTCAAAATTATAAAAAAAAAATTCGATCTGAGAGTGTCATTTACATCTAGAGGTGCCATATTCATAAATTTTCTTACCTCCGCCCCAACCATGGTGGGGCTGAGGTGGTCTAGATGTCTATGAAAGTCCCTCTGTGGATCCGCCACTGTATACCTTGTAATAGCGTCTATGGCGGTACACCATTTTACCAAATAATATACAAATTGATTTAAGGGGGACATGTCCACTCATTTGGCCCAGCCATTCTCAGATTTAGGCCCTATTACTCAATCAATGCTGCTGCCAATTTAATTACTATAATAATTGTCATCAAATTTTTTACATCATTAACAAACCTTAGAGTGCAGGAACATGTATTTCGTGGGCTGTAAGAAACAAATATTTTCTGCAGACAAGACCCTCTGTTCAAACAACCTTCTTACACTACCAAACCACCCCCCCCCCACCCCATTCTTAAATTCTAGATCCATCACTGCCACTCAGGCTTCTTGTAGCCCAGACTTGGTTTAATCCAGAGACATTTCGAAAATGCATTTTTTACGACATATCACAAATGTAAATTTTTCTCATGTTATAATAATTATAAATTCATAGTAGAATATGCCTTTTCTTTTTGTTATGATCAAATTGAGAGTGGTCATTCAACCTTTGTAGGAGCTTAGATGTGTTTACACGATTAGCAAGCACGCACTTGGCAGTTGCCGTCATAAAGTAAGCATAGATGAGAATGTATAATTACAGATCCTATATGTGTGGTATCATCCTCTTTAACGAGAACTGTTGCCATGGAAATACACATCTTAACCTCAAGTACCTTTGCCTGACAGGTAAAGACATTGATGGTTTTAATGTATTCCGATTCTAATCAACTAATTGGTTAGTGACAAAATCTATAAAAATCCTAAAAAATGCAATTAAAACTTTTATTTCTAATTAAAAAATAGACAATAATTTTTTTTATATCAAACAGCATGTATACTCGCCAATTACAGGAATGAACGATGTTCAATAAACAAATTGAAGTTGTCAGTTTTGTTGAAGATTCTGTCAAGATTTGAACCAAGGAATCTGGGAGTAATGGAAGGCACTCTTCTGAACTAACACACCAGCCCAGTGCATACTGTTAATTGGTAAGGAACATAATGTTATTTACAAACTATTTTCAATTGATGTTCAAACCAAAAATTTTGGTTATATTTATATTACTATTAATATTAGTATAATAAAGTATGCCGTTTAAATATTTATTATTATTAATATACATTATAAAATATGCACATAAGTATGCAACATGGACATTTATTTAAGTATTTAATATGAACATATTATTATTAAAATATGAATAGTTATTTTGTTTTCTTCATTTTTTTTTTCATTTTCATTTATTTATTTGACCAACATTTACAAATACAGTGACAATAAAATACAACATGTGAGAAAAACAAAACCTGAAATGATAACTCAGATGAACCAGCTACCCATTAAAATAATTAAACAATTATATATAAATTATAATAGAAAATTACAAATTAGGCCTATTCTTAATTTTATCTTATTTACAATAAACATACAAGAAAAACAGGAAAAAATAAATAAAAATCAGTCCAAAAAAAAAAACCAACAAAATAACAGAAAACAACAAAAAAATGTCGGGGAGTCAGAAATTAACTCATTTTTAAGATTATCAGGTAGAGCAGTCCATAAATGAGGAAACTTTTTAAACTTATGATTAAAAATTCAACACAAATACCTCTTAAGTTTAATATGTTTAACCTACAAGTTGAATAAGATAAAAGTTTATCTATGACACTTTGTGCATCTTAAAACATGACGTTGATATAGAGAATGACACTGCAAATTGCGAGGTTAAAGTACTCAGTTAACTTGAATAAGATTTATTATTATTATTATTAGTAGTATATAAAGTATACAATATAAATATTTATTATTAATATATTAAGTAAACAATATGAATATTTATTATTATTATTATTAATATATAAAGTATGCAATATGAATATTTGTTATAATATTATTAATATATGGAATCATATGTTTGATGTAAAAATTCCTCCAATATTGATGTTTAGAGGTGAAGTATGGGGCATGTCAAATTATATGGATATTGATAAAATTCAGAATAGATTAGGTATAAGCAAAGATACAAGATACTTTTATAGTCGCTTATAGAAAAAATTCACAAGTAAAATTCTTTTCCCTGATGCTTATACACGTAATGAATATAAATATAAATATAAATACAAAAATAAATACATAAAAACAAAAAACCACAAAGGGTGAACAGCACACACAAAATAATAGCACAAGGTATTGCAAAGGAAAATCATCAGAAAAATGCCCCAGATATAGCTGTAACAGCAGAAATGGGGAGATTCATGCGTTTCGCTATTTGTTACGCTCAATTCAAACAGACCATGATCATATTATTTATGAGTGTTATCTTTTTCAATTTAGAAAAGTCAGACGAAATGAATTATTTTAGTTATATTATGTTAAGTAAATTTTATATTCTTCAATAAAGGGATTTGGCAATGGGCGACACATGACCTAACTTGGGTGTTGGGATATAAACAATCGACTGGCACAGCAGTGTTTTACATGGAGATTGCTATTGCGGCTGTCTTTTGTTATTGCTGTAAATATCATCAAAATTCCCAGTAAACTGTACCAAATTGAGTGGAAATTAAACTTGAGAATTTTACCTTAATGGTTTGCTAAAGCTGTGAAGGATACTGGCCACAAACATTGAGATTTTTTGACAAAAGTTAGGTTTAGGCCCCTGCACATGTACAGCATGGTTCGGTATGCATGATGGTCTTCGACCCACGTACTACGCTGCGTAGCTAGGGTTTATGAAGGATTACTTAAATTTTAAGGCATACTATCCTAGGAGAATGCTAGGATAAGTAAATAAACACTATTTTGAACAATCGTATTGCCTTTCCTAGCCATTTCTTTCTCATGTTAACAGTGGGTGGTTGTTTTCGCAACCATAACATTATCATGTCCTATGCTATTTCACTGTAATTATTATCACGTTACCGCCTCTAAACAAACATCGCCAAATCTGTCTATTGGTTTTGGTTTTGTCTGGTTTTCACAACAGGTAATGATTCTGATTTCATATAGATGCATAGAAGATGAATTTTCTTTTACTTTTTAAGTTCCATCGTTTAATGTCATCAAATGATTGCAATGTTTTATATAGTTTATTGAAATATCTGTATTTAGCTTATATAAGAAGAAGTGAATTACTTTCTTCTGTTCTCTAAATGTTACTTTGTTATGTAAAAGGGACCAAAAGCCTAAAATACAAATAAATGTTCTACACCATAGGGTCAGAAACGACTGAATGAACAAATATATAAAGTAGGCATTATAAATATTTATCTTTTACTTTATAATCTCAACACATAAAGTATACCTTTATAATGGATATGTTTAACCTACAATTTGAATTGAAAGTTAAAAGTTTATCTTGGCACTTTGTGTATATTAAACCATGACGTGAACATAAAAGGATGACACAGCAGATTGGGAGGTTAAGGTACTAAGTGTACTTGAATAAAATGAATATAAATATTTATTGTTATTAATAATATATAAAGTATGCAATATGAATACGTATTATTATTTATAAAATAATAATAATAATAATAGTTCATTCTTATATAGCGCAAGTAAGCAAGCTCTCAATGTGCTGTACATAAAAAACGGAATAACAAAATAAAATATAAATTATGCAAAATAAATATTTATTTTTTACTTTATAAACTTTAATTATTAAAGTGTTTAACCTAAATCTGAATTAAAAGATAAAAGTTTATCTATGACACTTTGTGCATCTTAAACATGACATGAACACAAGAGAGTGACACTGCAAATTGTGAGGTTAAGGTACTAAGTTTGCTTAAATGAGATTTATTATTATTTTATATATAAATATACAATATGAATATTTATTATTATTATTATTATTTTATATATATAAAGTATGTGATACTGTATAATATTATTATTTATGTATGCGATATGAATATTATAATTATGATTATTATTTATATATAAAGTATGCAATATGAATACTATTATCATTATTTATTATTATTATTATTTATATATAAGTATGCAATATAAATATTTATTTTTGACTTTTATAAACTCAACACAGATACTGTAGTACGCCTTTAATAATATGTTTAATAATAATATTTAACCTACAATCTGAATTGAAAGATAAAAGTTTATCTTAACACTCTGTGCATCTCTTAAACCATGATGTGAACATCGATGACACTGCAGATTTGGAAGTTAATGTACTGCATGTGCTTGAATAAAATTAATATAAATATTTATTATTATTAATAATATATAAAGTATGCAATATGAATATGTATTATTATTATTAATATATAAATTATGCAATAATGGTTAAAATGTTTAACCTAAAATCTGAATTAAAAGATAAAAGTTTATCTATGACACTTTGTGCATCTTAAACCATGACATGAACACAGGAGAGTGATGCTGGAGATTATAAGGTTAAGGTACTCAGTTTGCTTGTATAAGATTTGTTACAAGTACAAGGAGACTTAAGCAGTGCCTACTTTACTGGACACCTGCAACAATAAGAACACAATGACACAACGTATCTACAACCAACTCATAATTTTGTGTCATTTTGTAGTTTAATCTTGACAACAATGACAAACAGTTTCATTGCATGGAGCGTGTCGCAAAGAATAATAAAAATATTTGTAGTACCATGTAATCCCATTGATACAAAAATTAATACCAGTGTTTGTGGGCTTTGCATGCTTTCATCAACCTCTGGCAAGTATTCATGGTGATAGTGCAAAAATGAAAAAAATTATCTGATCAAGGACATACTCAATATGGACACACTGAAATATGTTTTTTTCTTTTTTTAGTGTTGATAAATGTTTGGATTTATTTTTGTTAATCACTTGCTGATAAATTTATTGCTGTCCAAATGTTTTTCTTTTCTGATTGATAAAAGGGCATTTTTTTTTTTTTTCACTTTAAAAAGCGCCATTTCTAGGAATCTGAAGCTGGCTGTTCTGGTACTGGTACAGGCTCTAGGATATAATTTATGGGGGGGGGGGGGCCCAAGTATTTATGGGTGTAACTACGGCGCGCAGCATTATCTGAGGACCAAGGCCGGGGGTGGGTATGGGAGGGGTATCCCCTCCTCCCAAAACGAGATTTTTAACAAAAATTGGGACTTCTAGATGGCCGGAAATGGCTGGTTTTTTTTTTTTTTTTTTGGTCCGACTGCCCGATGAGCTTTGGCCGATGGGGGTGCTTGACCAGATCAATGGGGGAGGCTTAAGCCCCCCTGAGGCCCTGAGGTAAGAAAATTTATGATTATTGGTCCTTTAAGTGGCCGGAAATGGCACTCTCAGACTTAAAATTTGAATCTACATTTTTTTTTATTGACAGATTTAGGGGGACCTGGGCCGACTGGGCCCCTTCCACCACTGGATATAATATGATAAATTCACAGTCGACGTCAGAGAGACTTTATGCTGTGATGTATAAGAAATGCTTTTGGGATTAGGGTGCTAGATTGAGGACACTATGGGTGTCAAGCCACTGCCGGAGGCTTTGCAGTCTAACCTTTTAAATCTCATCTATACGATTTCCACACTTTTTTTTTAACTGTTGCAGGGGTGTGTGGAGGAAACGAGCGCTCCTTTCGTCACCCCAGGATCCCCCAATGCTCAAAACAATTTAGACAATTTTTTTAGACAGGTTTTTTAACATAATATTCTAATGCAGTTAAGTTGTTAGCATTTAATTATATATAATTATGTTATGTTATGCTTTGTTTTCTGTATGTTGTTTATTTTTGAACTAAATACAAAAAGAAAAAAGTCTCATTCTAAACGTCGTCTTCAAGTTGTGTCTAAAGTATGCATTAAATGATAGGAACATAATGCGAGTAATAAAGAGATAAATTAAGCAAATAATTGTCTATTTCATATGATGTTCATACTGTCGTTTTGATGAATAATTATCTTGGTTAGTAATTTATATCTATTGTCAAGACAGGTAACCAGGATACAACAAGAATTTTAGAACAACATTTTCCCCCAATCAGATAAAGCCCAAGATGCTTCGGACTACTGTTCAGTTGCTATGCCAACAGCAATGATATCAAATTGGTCATAATGATTATTCTTTAATATCCTTATATTCATCCTAATTGATGGATTATTTATTTAATGTTGTAATAATCATCTGATCTTAGAATCCTTGGAGCTGTCTATAAATAGAATAAGTGAGTTAAACACAACTTAACGATGACATTAATGACAAGAATAATGTAATTGCAATAATTTACAAGAGGATATATTCCTGTCCTAAGCAGTGGCATAACAGAGTCACAGGGTCCGGGGCGAGAAAGTTTTGGTACCCCTACACCGGGTAGATTTGATTTTTCCCCGATGACCTTGCTGAAAATTTCCAAGTGGGGTCCAGAGGTCCCCGACAGGGATCCTTGTCCCCCATGGACCCCCTGCTAGCACCACCCCTGCTAGAATTCAAGAAGAATTTGGATTAAATTACAGTATAGTAATTATTATCCCAAGTTGGAAGAAATCCTTCGGAGAGATTTGTATGGTTAAATGGGCTTTCATACCGTATTTAATTTTATTTTTCCATGCATGGTGAAAACTGATATTAAAGTAGTAAAAACATGCACATTTCATGAATCTGCAGGAGATGGGTTATTTTCCGGGAGATGTTTGCGAGAGTGTGGAGGCCGTCCTGGTTTCCGGGAGACTCCCGGGAGACTTGGGACCACTGCTGTGTAGCACCCCTACTAGGGATGGATACGTGCGCCTAACAAAATGACATTATTATTATTATTATTATTATTATATTGGGGTCGGAAAATTGATATTGTGTAAATAAGTGTTGTCATATCAGTCCACTTAAAACATTCGTGAGTTAAAAACGTGGTATTCTAATAGTAATTACACTGTTTTAATTTGCTAGTTTTAGGTGTCTTTTACTGAACCATAATGTCAAGGATCGGTTAGAAGAGTGTTGATTATTAGAGGGGGGGGGGGGGTCAAGCATTGGCCCACATTGGTTAACGCCACGACGGGGTCGTCAAACTAAGACCAGTGGTGGCGCCAGCGGGGTCCCTCCAGTCAATACACCTTCAATAATAATGTACTAAATTAGCTGCAAACCATACAGGATGCTTGAAATTTAGTCTTTCCACTAATACGCTTTAAAGTGCTTCCTCATAATACAATGTTCTCTATTGATGCAAGTTCCCTGTGAAGAAGCTTTAAGGCTGCCAAAATATACGAAACTACTTCTATGAGTAAGACATAAAAATACAGTAGGCCTATACAAAAATACTTTGCTGAAAGTATACACCTAAAACAGAGAGAAGCAAGACGCGTGAAGCAGTGCCGGGTGCTGAGTGGCGTATCGTGGTGCTGTCTCTTATACACATCTAGATGTGTATAAGAGACAGGCTTACCAGACGCACTATTGTTTTGGACATGTCAATTAAATTGAAAACCAATATATTTTTTCTCTTTCGTAGGAGTTTAACCCACTTTTATTTCTTTCTCTTTTTGTTACTTTTCTTTTTTTTTCTGCTTCTAATACATCTTTAAAAGAAAATGAATATACAAAATAAAAACAATTGCACTTAGGATGGGTCAGTCCACAATGGCTGACTATCTTTCTTCTTTTTTTTTTTAACATCCTTCCACTTGTAATAATTTCTAAATATTTTTTTACCAATATATTTAGTGCAACAACCGAGACCAGGAAAAACAGCTAAAATCTTTTTTTTTAAGTTCGGTAGGCTCAAATAGGACAGATTTACACTCATGTTGGGTTGTTCTTTGACATGACAAACATAAAATAAATACGATTGAGAAACTTAAGTAGGCCTAATGACCCGGGAATGTCCTAGAATTTTTTTAAAAGATTCATTAGCGGCCCTTTATTTGACTTTGGGTTGTTTTATTGACAACATAGTTACCAACAGTCTCGCACATGGTGCGGGTTGGTCCCGCATTTTAAAGTGATTTTGGATGAAACACGAATTTTGCAGAAACACATGCGTGATCCTAAATTTGTCGCGCATTAGCAAAAGTTTGTGTTATAACGAATTATTACGAATTCAGTGGAAATTCGTTTTATTTAAAATATGAAAACTGTCATGCAGTAAGTCATAGAGAGTACAGTATTTACGTGAATACTTATTTCACTGACGCGTACTACTAAAAATTTAGCAGTAATGAAATGTTTGTTTAATAGTTCAGGTGCTCAAATTAAACATACATTGAAACTCAAATTGTACGTGGCTTTCGTAAAAAATATTTTGCTTATGTAAGCCTACTCGGTATTGTCAACAAACGCTCCCTGAAATTGTTTTAAAACAGTTTAAATATTCTCAGATCGTCGAAGCGCCGGGGGCCTACGCCCCCTCCGCCCCTAGACCCCACCCTAGCCAACTGGTGTAGTCACTCACGCATTTGAAATCTCTCAGGTTGGTAACTATGATTATTGATTATGCAGATGAAGTGACGATTAAAGCCGGGCACTCACGACTGCGCCCGACGGTCGTTTTTAATGACGATCCGTTCAGACTGCAGGCAAAGGGAGATTATACTTTTATATCTTAATACAAGTCCAGCATGACGAAGATAGTATCTTTTGTATCTTAATAAACACTGCAAATTTCTTACCATTTTTGTGAAATTAAAAGAACCCCCCCCCCCACCACCCCCATTCAATTTCAAAATTTAAATATCACTTCACTTCAGCCCAAGAGTGCTATTTAACAATGTCGATGGTAAACCAGGCGAGGGCGTGGTCTTTTTTTGTATTACTGGCCACACTAGTTAGAAAGCTATGGTGTGCATGTAAGCCTCTGTAAAAGTAATATAATTTTATTCTGACAGGAGTAAATAGGGCTAAAATGAACATGTATAAAATACGAAATGCCTTGGAAAATGGCCTGATGCAGCGGAGGAAATGGTTGACTCGGATCAGTAGATTTTAAGATAAGCTGGGATTATAGGCCTATATTATATTTCATTTTGTTTTTAATCTCATTCAACAGTGAGCGACTCAACCACCTCTACTATGAGGTAAAGTCAAACAAGTATTAAAACGGATTTCTATTTGCTGGTGTTGAAAAAAATCAAGCCATTTGTTATGTTGATTTATATCTAGAACGGCTGGTAGTGAAATCGGAAAAATCGCACAGACCTTTTAAAACATTTAGGCCTAATAAAAATCAACTTTCGGTAAAAAATATGATTTTTTTTTTAAAGATAGCTCATAAAACGCTCAAGTCCTAATGTACACCAGCCTAAATATTTGGGGAATCAGGCCTACATGAAGAATAAGAACTGTGTTATTAACAGTGGCAGAACCAGGAATTCGAAATAGAGGGGACCTAGGGAATGAATATCACAGATGGAGAGTCCACCTCTCAGCCCCACCATGTGGTTCGGGGTTGGCTCCCCTACCCCACCCCAAATCCGCCACTCGCCACTGATTAATACCATACCTGATGATTGGTCCAAAGAAAATCTCTTAATTGATACTGTGAACGTGCAAAGAAATTCAAAATAATCTTGAAATCCGTCGTTCTGTTCAGACGTATATTGTTAATGTATCAATTATGAAATGGCCTGTCGACTACGAGAAACAGAGGTAGTTATTTATTTATTTATTTATTCTTTCTTTCAATACATAGTAAACCTAACTACAAATTAAAATGTAGTTAGGCATAAAATACGGGGGATGAGAAATGAAATCAAAACGTTACAGGAATTTTCCCACTGAGACGGGATTTTCTTTTTAACGTTATATTATTACTGTATTAATAGGAAATGGACTATGAACCATGGTACGAGAAACCGAGGTAGTTATGCGGAAAGTAGGGGGATGAGAAATTAAATGAAAACCTTATATACAGGGACCGGATAGTTGCCATATTTAATAAGAGGAAATTATATGCTGAATTCGTTTAATGTTGAGGATTCCTTAATTTTTAATTATTGATATTGTTTTGGGTGTTTTCTTGATTTTGTTGTTTTGGGTGTTTCATTGATCTGTTGCTTTATGGGTGTTTCCTTGATCTGTTGTTTTGGGTGTTTTCTTGGTTTTTTTGTTTTGGGTGTTTCCTTGATCCGTTGTCTTTTGGGTGTTTCCTTGATCTATTACATTTTTGGGCGTTTCCTTGATCTGTTGTTTTGAGTGTTTCCCTGATTGTTTCGACGCCTTAGTTCGGATCACCATGTCTGGAGTCACCACTGTTTCATGATTAACTAGTTAAGGATTTTTCCAGATATTAACACAAACACAGGATATTCAAAGCCTTTCTTATTTTAGGAAAATTATAAATTTGCTCAAGTTCATTAGTTATTAGTTATTCAATGGCGTACCGTAGATACAATTTTGTATTGTATTTTCTATAGGCCTTGGTGTACTGTATACTATTAATATTATTAATCTCGGGACACTCTGCATCATTCAATAACACTAATTTATGCTTAGACAGTAGGCCTCTAACATTTCTAAAGATGACCTTCTGAGATATATACCATTTTGGAGTCATTGATTGCATTATTATTGATTTACTTGACATCATCCTACAGTGGCGGGTGTATACTGCATTGCCTATTCTAAAGCTGCATCAACACTATCAAATTCTAGGTGACAAGGTGATATGCCCATATTTGAGTGTAATAATATTAATATGACATCATGATGCCCAAATATGGGCACATTACACACATTTTCCTCATAAATTTTATAGTGTGGACAGAGCTTGAAGCCCTGTTCAGATTATCCAATTGTATTTGACAAAAAACAACTTGTGCGCCCATATATAGTCATGATGTGCCTATATATGGTCATGATGTGAGGTCATCATAACCATACTTAGGAATGTCATGTGTTTTTGTCAAATCAAATGTGATAGTCTGGACACGGCCTAGGCTAGGGGCGCGCCCTTACTTCGTAAGGAAAATGCCGTCTGAACGAATTGGAGTTTTAGAGGCTAAAGTAGGCCTACATTGCCTGTATAAGGTCAATTACAGTCATAGATTTGAATACAACATGTGAGTGTCCACG